GACTGGCCTGGCCGCAACACACGTACGTTGTCCCCTTCAATTCTGCATCTGCCTGTTCCAGCAGGAAAGGCAAGTGGTGATGTAGCTCYAGCATTTGTGGTAGGTCTGCTGGAAACAAGTTTTAATATGGTGTGTCTGGCTGATCTTCCTTTATTGTTGAAGGGAGCTGCTTGAAGACTGCATGATGGGGCAGTCATTTCCCAAAGGTTATTACTGGTGTGTTTGAAATGTGACTTCTCCCWCTGATGAACTGTAGTTCAATGATTCATGCCCAGGCAGATGAGGGTCAGTACAGCCTGAGTTTAATTGCTAGATGAAAGCTATGCCAGGATAAAGATACTCGTTGGCACAACAAAGGTTGAACAGAGCCAAGACCCAGTTCTTTAATTTATTGGTACATAGTTTTGAAAGTAAAAGCAGGCATAGCCCTGACAAGAATAGGACCTGAGCTCCTCCAGGCCCCTACCAGCAGTGCATGAGACAGGAGCACAGCTCTGTCCCGGCGGTGGGTGCAGATGGCCCTGTTAGGCTCTGTGATGGGGACACACTCTGAGCAAGCCCTGCGCCCCAGCCAGGGCAGCAGCAGGACATGGTGACAAGCTCCCTGGGGGCTGCTTCTCCGTCTCAGTTCAGAAGAGCTGTCGAGAAGCTGTGATGATGAGGCAGCCAGCCTTGCAAGCAGACTGCACCATGGTAAGGGCTAAACTTTTCCTCTCCTTCCTCCTGGAAGCATGTGTGGAAAATAGGTCAGCCCTCAGAGTCATGGAGCTCACCGTGCTCTGCKAGGGACATGTACATGTCATGTACATGTGGTGATGGCTCCTTTCTTGTTTCTCCAGGATCCTGAAGGAGCTTTCGCTGATCCAACCACAGACCARTTTGGCCTGTTGCTCCATGAGGAATGAAGTGAAAGACCTTTAATACAAATTATGACCTGGACCCCCYTGGAAACTGAAATGGAAGTTTTCCGCAGCATACAAGGTCAAATAGACAGGTGTTGCCAGACTCAGGCTGGAAGATATATTTTTCTTAGGTTTCTATGGAGATTAGAGAGATATTTCAGGAGTAATATAAGGCTCAAAAGGATACTCATCAACTACTCTTTCTCAGGTTCAGGATACTGGCTAATCCTTAATCCCAGACCTGCTGTTGATTCTCTCCTTTGGCGTGTTTCACTATGCAGTCAACTATTTAGCTAAGGGACTTTGCTGTCCTAATTATGTACAGAAATGCTAAGTTAAATAAAAGTGTAAACCGCAATGTGGATTATTTATTACTTTTTCTTTGTTGAGGGAGCAATGTTCAGGTCCATGTTTTTCAAGGTGCACTATTTATGAACGAGTCAAGAGAGAAATATTTGATACTGCAGGAGGCCAGATAATGACTTAATCAAAGACAAAATGCCCCTTTGCTCCAGTTCAATGTTCATATAGTTCAGTTCATATTAGCATTGATTTTTCCCAAGCCTTAAGCATCCTATTTATGAAAGGCAGCATAATGAATTTTAGCAATAAACCAAGATGTTGGAACAATAAGATAGACCGTTCTTCCACTCACTGATGTGTAGGTGTAAAACGCCTACTGCATTTCCAGAAGGGCTGTCCTTCCTCCGGGTTGCATTTCATCTACAGACACAAAGCAAACACACTGTGCCCTAATCACCATCTCTTCTGAGGACAAGAGAAGTCAGAAACTGTCTGATATTTGGAATAACCACAGTCGGAATGAGCAGATATGGATCCTCTCCTACTGCAGAGCTGAGCCYACTGTGCTTCACTTTCCCTCACCCCCAAAGCTAATGAAGAAGCTGCCAGTTCCTGCTGCACATCCTGTCCATTCAGCTACTCTTAGTGCAGGATGAAGCAATTTTCTGTCCCACTGTCCCATTTTCTTGCAGATAAAACACAAGTTGAATTTCTATTCTGATGATCTTTTCATTTTAGTCAGTTGGGAGTCTGTGACATTCTCCATTACAGCTTGTTTGCACACTTTCTTTGCAATTAAAATGCAGTTTGCTGCCTGTGCAGCTAAGGTATGTGCTTGGACAAGCTGAAATCTCACTATCAAAGGTACAAAAGGATGTGGCATTTGCAGTGCTAATAGAAAAGAGTCAGAAAAAAAATGCCTAAAAATTTCTTCAGCCCTTTCAAGTAATGACTCGGTCATCAGTCCTTCCCACTGTTCTTTATTAATATTCAAATTACAAACTGACGTCAGCTCTGACTGTCTAAAAATAAACTGCACATTTTCATTGAATTAGTTGGACTGTCTGCTTCACCACCGAGAAAGTTATATAGAATAAAATATTTACTTAAAGGGGTTTCTTAAGTACAATGCCTCAGGTATTTAAATGTCCCAGATAGGTGAGATAAGAAATCAATATAAAGTTGTATTACACTGTGAATGGCAGCATGAGAATGAATTTGGGGGGAGCAGAATGGGTATGTCTTGAGCTCGCAGAGCTCGCAGAGCTCAGACCTGCCTTGGCAGGACGCAGTCCCTGTGTCYTTCCACATAGCAACTGCCTCCTGTTCATCCTCTTCATCATGATTTTTTTTTTTCCATGTCAGAGCTGCCATGAAAAAAACGGAATGACTTGGTTTTTAATAGAGAAGTATTAGCTTTTGCAATCAGCAGCTTGGACCTTGGTCATTTTCCTGTAGTTCTCAGGGATATTAGTCAGGAAGGGAGAGTATGGGGATATTGGGGAGACACCCAGATCTATATAAATATCTGTGAGAAGTGCCTGCTTGCTCATCTTGACATCTTTTGTAGGCTTTGGCTGCCTAGCTAAGGAGCACAGACTCTACGGTGCAATTTAGTTGAGCAACACATGCTGYGATCTACGGGACTCAGCAAACCCTGGGATCGATAGCTGCAGAGAAGGATTTGCCAGGTAGGTGTTGGCTGAATTATATTAATGTAAACTGGGAGGTGACTCCTGGTATTCATGCAGAGTGAAGCTCCACGATGCAGATGAAGCTCATGATGCAAAACGAGGAGGTACAACAGAGAAACAAACCAATCACCGAATCTTTGCCCACCTAGCAGGTGTTGTTGGCCAAACAGCAATCTCACGTCATTGTTGTTTCAGCCTTATGGAAACTCTTTACTATCCCAGTATTGATATTTGACGGCCAAGATCAACAGCGACCTTATTAATGACAACACAGTCCCTGCCTGTTCAATGCAGCTCCCTGAAATCTGACTGTGGGTGCTCTTTCCCTGGCACGGGGCCATGCCTGCAATTAGCCAGCAGTAAATCCGTGCTAACTGAGAGCCATGGGGTAAACACCTGGAAAGATGCTGGTGTCCGTAGGAAGGGAGCTGCATCTGCTGCCCCTGCACCGCAGAAGCCGCCACACTCCTTAATTGCACAGGAGCAAAAACCCCGTGTGCATTAAAGCCCTGCAGTGCACCTTGTGGGAAACTAATAAAAAGGGCTTCTTTTTTTCCACAGCCAAAAGGAATATCCCCCTGACAAATATCTCAGCCCAAATCTGTGTCTGGGGGCTTGCTCTCTGCTGTTGGTGTGGTGGATGTGTCTCCGTGCCTGCTATGTGGAACTGGAAAGTGCCCAGGGAATCAGACTGTGGACAGAATTGCTTCTTTTAAGTCACCTATTACTGTCTGGATCCGAATTTAAGCAACAGCCTGAAAAAAAAAAAGGATTTTGTGAAGCTAAGACTGGATTGAGCTGCTCCTCCTCATCTTGGATTACCCCTGCCTTAGAGAAGTGATTTATTGTTCTGAATTCCACTGTTCATCTGTGTCTTGGGAGTGGTGGGAATGCTAACCCTGAGCATTCAGAAATCATGCAATTGGATTATAATGATTGTAATGATTACTTGTGTTTTTCTGTATAGGAGAAGAACTGTAGCTGTTCCAACCTACCTGCCAATTGCGGAGCCTCTTGCGTTCACTGACATGCTATAATTAATGCTTTTTATGCAGACTTTATTAATAAAAATAATAATAAAAAAAACCACTTCCCGTGCAAAAGAAAGAAAAAGCGGAGATTTTCCCAGGGCATTCCCAGTTAACAGGGTAGCCAAATTGCTAAGTCATCCTGCGATTTGCATTAAAAAGCCCAGGCTTGGCAACACAGACACTGAGCGCCTCTAGCTCGGTTGTTCGGAGCTGCTCAGTTCACCAGCAGCTCTTGTTAATCCCTCAGGCTGGGGGTGCAGGAGGCTCTCCAAGGAAGCAGCAGCTTCCTGCAATGCGGCCGCGTCCACCCGCCTCCCTGTGCCTGCTCCAGGGGTTTCTCACCCTTCATTCCCAGTTTCCTGAGCTCTGGGCTTCCCAGCATGTTGGGAGGTGGCCGGACACCCATGTCTCTGTGCTGAGGCTGTACATCCCTTCCTGCTCTTTCAGTCCTTTTTTCTTTTTTTTTTCTAATTTTCCTCTCAGCTTCAGCCTGCAGTAGCATCTGCAAAATTTGCAGAAAATAAAGAAAAAAAACATCATTTTCCACCCCGAGTCACCCAATCTCCCTGCAACCCCTGGATATTCTCCCCTCCTGCTGGTTTTTGCAGGGCTGATAGCGCAGGGCCGGGCAGGGAGGCTTCCCAGTGCACCGCGATTCCTGCCATGCGGCTGCTGCGGATGTGATGGGAATGAGAATGGGGGAGCTCTGTCCTCGCGTTGTGCTTTGTAAATGAATCGCTTTGATCTCCGGCGGATTTCCCCGTGCTATTTTTAGATGCTGTGAGGATAACCGAGGGATGTCGATTCTAATGCAGACAGAAAGGAATTTCAGATGCAGTTTTCCTCCTGGGGCAGGAGAGGAGAGGCGGAGGAGGAAAACAAGGCAATCTCCAGGAGCATTTCAGAGTCTTCCCAAATAGACAGAGATAGGTCTGTAGGCCCTCGAGGCTAGAAAGGGACGTTCCCTGAATTTAAAATTCACTAGATATCTGATTATTCTCCTTTTCCTTCCCCTTGCTGGTCTATGTCTAACTCACCRATCTGCCACAGCCCAGCGTCAGCACCTGACATGATTAAATTCAGATTTGTGCTGCTGTGAATATGAGGGCTTGTAATAGGCAGCCATGGCTCTAAAAGCAATTACAGTGCCTCTCCTTTCCCCACTTAATGGATGCATTTGGACGGCTTGGATTGCTTGCTTTTAATCATGCCAGCTCGTGCTTTGCATTTCACCTTAACAAATAATAAGAAAACAAGTGTAACAGGAAAGAAGGGGGAACAAAAAGCAAGCCTTTTTCTCTGCTTTCCTTGCCCAGAGGCAGCCCCCGGTTGGCACGCAGGCTGCCGGAGGGCCAGAACAGCCGGCCCTGGGAACAGCCGGCCCTGGAACAGCCGCTCGCCCCTGGGAACAGCCGCTCGCGGGGGTTCCCTCCCGCCTGGCACCTCTCCTGTTGCCAGGGTGACTGCGGTCCCCGTGGCCCTGCAGAGCTGCCAGCCCTGTCCTTGTCCCCGCGGGTYCCCGGGGGCTGCAGCAGAGGCAGGGGCAGCGTTTGCTGCGGGCACCGCAACCCCGCACAGAGCTGCCAAGGGGCTCCCCTGCACCACGGAAAGCCCCCTAGGGATTTCCGTAGGATCTAATCACTGCCTAGGGACAAACCTTGCCATAAATATTCACAGCAGCAGTGGGGAAGCCTCTTCCCTTACTCCTGGGTTGTCCTTGCGTGCATTTTGTGGTGCTCAGCTCTGAGTATGGGGCTTTTACTGCTTTTTCTTCCAGCTCCTTTAGCTCAGGAGCCAGAATTTTACTTGCTGCTTTGGTGTTTCTGGTTTTCATGTTTTCTTTACAGCCAACGTCACAGATTCTGGAGGAGGGAGAGGAAATGTGCTGTGAGTGCAGGAGAGCCCTGCACACAACCAGATTTCTGGCTGCACCCAGACATCAAGCTGAGCATGTTGGTGCACTGGTCTCATGGTAGCGGCCCTGGATCTTTGCAAGCTTGGGGAATCTGCATGCTGCCTGGAAACCTCCCCTGCAGCAGGTTCTGGGGCATCCATTGAGGCACTGGCTCCCTGTAGCATCACCAGGAGCAGAGCCCTGTGCACTCTAGTGAGCTCCTAGGCAGAGGCAGCAGCTCTATAGACACCCTGTGTCACCCTGGGCCACTGCGGGCAGCTCTCTGTCCRTGCAAGCCCATCAATGGTGACAACGGCCCCCTTGACTCCCTCCCTCGTGCTCAGGGTTACTTTTTCTGTAGGGATCCCTTTGGCTTTGATGCCGTCAATAGTGCTTTCCCTGGCTCCGGATCGGAGCCCTCCTCAGAGAAGAGGGAGAAACGTGGCTGCTGGGCTCTGCTCATCTCTCCTCACTCGTCTGGACAAGCACTGCTCAGGTGCACAAGGTCCTGACCCATGTTTCACCCATGGTGATGTCCCCTTGCCTGGGGATGTCCCTTTGCCACCCGCACGCGGAGGAAGGAACAGAATAGCAGCAYGCGGTGGCAGCAGCCCAGAACGTGGAACTGTGCTGGGATGAATCCATCCCAGTGTCCATCCCAAAGCCCAGTGCAGACCAGGGATCCCGGAGAACCACTGCAGCTGCTCGGCTTCCTGCGTGCTTAAAGCTTGCACCTCTTCACCACCTATTGCCAAGGGCATTTCAGGTTCTCTCTGAGGAGCATAAACCTGGGCTGGTGGTCGGAGAGGAGCAGGAGTGTGATTGTAACTCAAGCATTTTAAGGCTAGTCATTGACAAGGCTGGGTTTTCATGACAGGAASCTGGATTTGGAGGGCAGGCTCCCTCCTGAATCCTAAAACCTTTTCCTGGTGAATTCCTAATTCTGCAAGTAGGTCACGCCTGCTTGCTCCCTGTGGGCACGTAGGAGACTTGACAGGTCTAAATAATAACTCTTATCTCCCCGCTCTTTGATGTTGGATGTCACTGAGTTGCTTGCTGCCTTTCCCTTTTCATTTCTTCTCYTCAGTTGCTGCAAAATTTTATTGAATGCACAAACCAAGACATTTCCAGCACGTGTCCCTCCACCTGCACCGGCAGCATGGTGCATACTATGCACCTCGGGCAGAAAAGCCTCAACCTTTTTGTTCTCCGTGGGATAGTGGCATTGCTGCTGCCTCCCACACACTGCTGGGATCCTCCTAGAATTCCTGGAGCTGCAGCCACTGCAGTGCTTGCAGTGGGATGATGTTTCTGCTTGTCCATGTGCACAGCACAGCCCTGCATGCAGAGGGCTGTCAAAGGCTGGACAAGGAACTCCCATTAATAGAGGCTCTGTTAAGGTTGCTCTAATTCTACATTACAATGCAAGCAGAATTTCCTACACTTGTGTTTTACTTACATGCTTTTAGCTGGATCATTGTCACAGCGGTTTTAGCTTCCGTGAGCAGCCTTTTAAAGACCTTGCCCTAATTACGAAGCACTTCCAGTGACATTTTAAATTATGGGTGAGTTTTACATAATTCTTCTGATATGTGTTGTTATGACATGTAAAATTTTATCTTCGCCAGATGCAGTGAATTATGCAAGGTCTTTGTGTTGCATTTGTCGGGGTAATTGGAACCGCGGCGCCTTTAGCACAGGCGTTCAGGGGCGCCGATCCTGCACACAGCTGCACCCGCACCAGCAGTGCCGTGGAGCTGCTAGTGTATAAGCTAGCACAGCAGCTTACATGCCAGCGTTCAAGCTGCAAACGGGAACTTTCCAGTCCCAAAGTGCATCCCCTCTTCTGGAGGCCATGTCCCATSATGTCCCATGGTGTCCCATGAGAGGATCGGATGCTGATGTTTTTCCAGGCACAGCTCAGCCCCAGCCACCGAGCAGACTGCCTGATGCCGAGCGATGGGCAGCATTCCCCAAGTTTCTGTTTCCTTCCCGTCATTCAGCGTGTGGCCCCAGCCCTTGTTTACTGCCTGCTGCTCAGCCTTGCTATGGAGACGCAATGCTCTTTCCGCTCATTTGTGTTTTCCAGCGGCCTCGCTATCATGGTGATGTTTGTTTATTTTGCACGTAAACGCCTAATGAATCTGTGCCTGTGAAGCCTGCTGAGGCAGGGGAGGAGGATTCCTGCTCTCCTGGTAAGGAGCAGAGAGGCACAGAGATGCAGTGGAGGCTGCCGACTCATCTGGAGGGTCAACCTGAGATGCACGACAGCTGATTTCGCTGCCCCTGTTATTTATGGGCCTGCTGCAGCGGGTCCGTGGGAGCAGCAGCAACAGTGATGTGAGTTTGTGGGTCATCATGCTGCAACCCATCACTAAAGGAGTCCAAGGGGCTGCACGGATGTCTGGTAGCATCCCAAAACAGGAAGGAAAATTCCCTTCTCCCCTTCAGAGTGCAGCACGCGCCGGTAATTAGCCTTGCATAGTGCAGGACAGTGCCGGGAGCTGCAGGACTCGGCCGCAGGGCCTGGCCTGAGGGCACCAGCCTCCTTGGTTTTCCTTCACTCGTAATTTGTCATAAATGTGAGACCTGAGGATGGCTGCAGAAACTTGCACCGGTCCCAGCGCCAAGAATGTTTATGTAACTTAATCAATAGATCCCCAKTGATTTATTTGCATTAAGTAACCCCTAGGGAGCTTGATGATAGGTAAGAGTGTGCAGGGTGCTGTACAAACACATCATAAATAAAAGTGGCTTGCAAATCAATTGCCAGATATTAGTGATTAATCTTCTCTTTCTGAAATGATGTGATGTCTGTCCTTTATGGATTTGTATTTCAAATCTGACCTAAGAGATTTCRGAGTCATTTATTCCGGGAAGGCTGCCCTTTAAGCCTGATCTTAACTTTTCCAAAGGTCGTATGGTTCTAAATACCATGATTACTTACAAATCATGGCTCCCCAAGCACTTTGACAGCTGCCTTCCTCTGAACAAACCAAGGTCTTGTTCAAATACGTGCTCAGCAGTGGAGGACGGAGGCAGGGGACCCGCGCCGTGGCCTCAGGGCTGCTGGGCCTCAATGCATTAGGCACTGCAAAGGTCACCCTCACCTGCTCCTGTGTTAGCAGGAATGG